TTTTTTTTTTTAGTATTTTATTTGACAGTGAGAGAGGGAACACAGCAGGGTGAGTGGGCGAGGAAGAAGCAGGTTTCTCGCCGAGCAGGGAGCCCAACGTGGGGCTCTATCCCAGGACTCTGTGATCATGACCTGAGCCGAAGGCAGACGCTTAATGACTGAGCCACCCAGGTGCCCCTCTTGATTTTATTTAAATTCACTTAACAGCGCCTGGGTGGCTCAGTGGGTAAAGCCTCTGCCTTCGGCTCAGGTCATGATCCCCAGGGTCCTGGGATTGAGCCCCACATCAGGCTCTCTGCCCAGAGGGGAGCCTGCTTCCTCCTCTCTCTGCCTGCCTGCTTACTTGTGATCTCTCTCTGTCAAATAAATAAAATCTTTAAAAAATAAAAAAGTAAATGAACAAATGAGTAAATTCAGTTAACATAGGCTACACTATGAGTTTCAGAGGTGGAGGTCAGTGATTCATCAGTTGCATGTAAGCCAGTGCTCATCCATCACGGGCCCTCCTGAATGCCGGGCACCCAGGCCCCCCATCCCCCCACACCCCCACCCTGGCTGCTCAGGGTTCTTTTTTTTTTTTTTTTTTTTCCTCAGGGTTCTTAATGACACTTTCGCTTTTTCTTGAGTTTTAGTAAAACTTTTGAAAATTCCAGCCAAAATTCCAGACTGGAATTTTGAAAATTCCAGTCTCAGCTCTGCTGAGAGAAGGGAATGGCATTTTTTCCAAGTCTCACTCGGAGGGACAGGGAAGTAGTGTGTTATCTTGAGGCCACAGGGTGACACCGATAAAAACATACATGAGAGGATTCTGTCCTTCCAGTCGGTCCTCCGCCTTCGCTGTCTGTACGTCCTGTAGTGTCTCATGCCTTGCTACCCGCCGTTGGTACCACTCCCCACACCTGACAGATATCGAACATCTGTGGGGAATCTCCCCGATGACTTCATGACCTGAGTTTCTTTGGTGGTCTGCCAGCATTGCCGCAGGAGTTCCAGATCCCCTTGTCCCTCTGGTTCCCTAAAAGCAAGTGAAGCCTTGCCACCCTGGAATGTTCTTTCATCTTCTAACTACTTGTAATTGTTGCTGGCCTGGGTGGGGCGGGGCTCAGGGCAGGTGTTTGAAGGAGTCAGATTTAAAGTAATGACTTCCATGAAAAACACCTGGCGAAGTAAAAACACGTTGGGATAATTCCATTAATACCACAGAGTGGAAAGATGCTGTGTAGGCCCACACAGGCTTGTTTCCCTTTAGCTTCTGGTGGTGTCTGGAGTCCCTGGGTGCTGTTCTCCCCCCACCCCCATGCACACACCCCTGCCCCCTGATCCAAGCAGGCACCATGTGCAGAAGCGCCCCCCCAACCTCAGCCTTCCCTCCCTATAGGACCTCTTCTCGGCCCTAATCAAGGGCCCCACTCGCACCCCCTACGAGGATGGCCTCTACTTGTTCGACATCCAGCTCCCCAACATCTACCCAGCCGTGCCCCCCCACTTCTGCTACCTCTCCCAGTGCAGTGGCCGCCTGAACCCCAACCTGTATGACAACGGGAAGGTGTGCGTCAGCCTCCTGGGCACCTGGATCGGAAAGGTGAGTCCGGCGCCAGCCAGCCAGCCAGGGCGGAAGGACAGCGGGTCGGGGGTGGGTGTCTGGGGCAGAGGTGATCGTGCTGTGTGTGTGTTTCAGGGGACAGAGAGGTGGACGAGCAAGTCCAGCCTTCTCCAGGTGCTCATCTCCATCCAAGGTACAGTGCGCAGGATGGGGGTGGTGGTGGGGAAACTGCTGGAGGGTCCAGTGACTCTGGCCTTTATGTCCCCCACCTCCCACCTGTAGCTCTGGCCGCCCTCAGGGGATCCTCAGGCCAGCTCTCATGGGCTCCCCACTCCCACAGGTCTGATCCTGGTGAATGAACCGTACTACAATGAAGCGGGCTTCGACAGCGACCGGGGCCTGCAGGAGGGGTACGAGAACAGTCGTTGCTACAACGAAATGGCGCTCATCCGCGTGGTGCAGTCCATGACCCAGCTGGTGCGGCGGCCCCCGGAGGTGTTTGAGCAGGAGATCCGGCAGCACTTCCGCGCTGGCGGCTGGAGGCTGGTGAGCCGCATCGAGTCCTGGCTGGAGACCCACGCCCTGCTGGAGAGCGCCCAGGTGCTGCCCAACGGCATCCCCAAGGACAGCCGCTCCCCGGAGCCGGCCGTGGCCGAGCTCTCCGACTACGGCCGAGAAGAACCTGAGGACGGAGGGCTGGGCCCCGGAGAGGCCTCCCAGGGCTCAGACTCGGAGGGCGGCGCCCAGGGCCTGGCCTCAGCTAGCAGGGACCGCACAGACCAGACTTCGGAGGCAGCGCCTGACGCCCCGGTGCCACCCAGCGTCAAACCAAAGAAGCGGAGGAAGAGCTACCGGAGCTTCTTGCCCGAGAAGAGCGGCTACCCCGACATCGGCTTCCCGCTCTTCCCGCTCTCCAAGGGTTTCATCAAGAGCATCCGGGGCGTCCTGACGCAGTTCCGGGCCGCTCTGCTGGAGGCGGGCATGCCCGAGAGCACAGAGGACAAGTAGCCGCCTGCCTCGAGCAAGGAACGTCTCGTGGGGAGAGGTCAGCTGCTGCCGCTCACTCCCTCCCCTGGAATCGCCCGTCTTCCCAACTTCTCCTTTGTCCCCAATGCAGAAGCCCCTCGTTGCCCTCTCCCCAAGGTGAGTTTGATGCTGAAGTGCAAGAAGTTTCTTGAGATGCTGCCGTTTCTTTCCTGAAGCAATCTTTCAACAGGCCGGCCCCCAGTGGCAAAGAGGATCTGAAACCTGTTGCTGATTTTCCACTTGCCACCCAGGCAGAGGGTCCCGGCACTAGCTCCCTTGCCATCCTCTTCTCGGGTCGGAGGTGGGGTCTTCCTAGGGCCTGACACAAGGGCTCCGTGGGGGTCCACGTGTCGGGCAGCCCAGCAGCAGGACGAGTGGCCGTGCCTTGCATGAAGTGTGGGTTGCGCCAGAAGTCCCCCCCGCCCCCGCCCCTGTCAACCTCTCCCGTGCCCCTGTAGCTTCCCTGTTCCCAGGTCCCCCTGCTGCCACCGCCACCAGCCCTTCCTTGTCCCCCTAGCTGGGGAGCTGTAGCTGCTGTCACCGACTCCTGGCTCTGCTCTGGACCATTTAGACCCCAGGATAACTCTCAGGCCTGTTGAACTTGCTCTCTAAGAGAGGTTGGGACCAGGCTGGGTTCAGGGGGATACCCAGGAAAGGCGGCGCCCCTCATATGTGACACGGAATGAGGACCGGGGAGCTGCTGGAAAAACAGCGATAGGTGCCTTGCTCTGGCATTCTGGGCTCCGCCGCACCCCAGGGCCCCAGGAGGCGGAGCAGCAGCGCAGACGAGGCCGGGGCCGGTGCGGGGCCTCTCCCGCACACTCTGCCCCCCCCACTCAAATGCTAGCCCTGGGAGGCGGCCTGTAGTTCACTGAACACAGAAGGAAGGAGCCAGCCCCATGCGGCCTCTGGTCGCTTACAAACCGCAGGCTCATCCGAGGGAGGGGCGGCCGGCAGGGGGGCGGCCGGCAGGGGGGCGGCTGGCAGGGGTTCTCCTCCCTTGCAGACAGGCCCAGAGGTTTACAGGTTTTCTAAGCTTTTGATAATGTGAAGCTCCAGGTTAAGAGGTTGCTGTTGAGCGCATCACAGCTGTGTAATTTTTGGTGTATGTATGTAATATTTAAGGTTGGAAGAAAATCTCAAAAGCAAAGATATTAACTCTTATTAGAAAAAAAGACAAAAAAAAAAAAAAAAAAAAAGAAGCCAAAGCATGATGCGTCTTGTCCGCCTTAAGCTGGCTCCGCGCCCGCACTGTGCCCTAACCGCCCGGCGTGCGAGGACGGAGCCGCGCCACGGGCCGCGGCATTTGGAGCCCCAAGTTGGTATCTTGTTTGAGAAACATCCAGAGTAACTGGTGGGGCTGTGCTTCCCAGTGCGTTGTTCATGTGGAGATGTGAATGCCTACTGCTTAAGATGTCTGTATAAAGTGCTGTGTGATTAAACTTTTTTTTTACTTGCATTTTTTTTTTGTTTGGCTCATTACAATGTACAAAAAAAGACTAGGTGGCGCCATTAAACCTGCCTCTGCCATTCATCTGGGCTCTGTCGCCTTTCTTCCCCTCTGGGGCACCCCATACATCCCTCCCCAGGAGGTGGCAAGACCCGTGGCCAGGAAGGTTCACGCCACCAACACCTTCTGCCTTGCCCGGTCTGCGCGTGCGCCTTCCGCCTTGGCAGTCGTGGGTGTCCCGGGGCCTGGGAGACCGGGGTCTTGTTCACTGGGTCAGCGCTCTTGTCTGTGGGGACGGCCTGTGTTCCATCTTTCCAGCGCTGGTTTCCAGCATTATCTGCCAGCAGCCGCTGGGGTCCCCGGGGACTTTTGGCGCTGGGGGAGCCCGCATCGAAGCACCTGGCCTGGCCTTTAAGCCAAAATGGTTTCCAGTTTGGGGACCTGGTATCGGCCCCTCCCTGCTTTCTCCTTTTAACTTCCACCCTCCCCCCACCCCGGCCCCGCCAAGGACCTGGCAGGGTCGGGTAGAGGAGGCTGGGGGAGCCCTAGAGCCCTCACTGGAGGGACAACAGACTCCTTTCAGGAGGGAACAACTGTCTCCATTGTGGTTTTGTTGCTCATTTCCCTAATGCCCCTGAAATCAGACCTTTTCCCCCTTCGCTGAGGCCAGCTGGCTGTGCGGCCCCAGGTAAGACATCCTGGCTCTGAGTTTGTCTTCCACATGGGGTAGGCCGTTGGCTGAGCTCCCTGGCTTCTTCCAGGCCACAGATGGTTTAATCATTGGGGCAGGACCCCAACCCCTGCTAAAACAGACGACAACAACAACAAACGGAGGCACCTGGTCCCACGCCCACTGCCAGAAAGGACACCAGGAGTTAGTGCCGCGCATTGGCCGATCCACTGCCCACCACTGGGCACTGCTAATGGGAAGTTGTAGAGCGAGACCCCACTCCCTCCCCCACGCCTAGGGTAAGACCAGTGCGCTGGGAATGTCACTTTATTTGGATCTGATTCATGGGGTTGGGCTCCCAGAAACAAAATGGGAGTGGCCTCCACAGGCAGGGAGGGCCAGCCAGCCAGGCTTCTGGCCCAGAGCCTCATTCTGGCCCTTGGTAGGCAGAGCCTTTCCTTCCAAAGCACAGCCTCCACCTTCCCACCGTCTTCAGGGGTCCTCCTTCCGACCACACGAGCTGTGGACAGGCCCTCCAGGCCTGGGAGAAGGTGCAGCGCTCTGAGCTCCGAGTTGATCAGGAGGCTAAGGCACGGCGAGGCCCACAGTCATAAGTGCTCTCTTTGAAGGGCTCTCTGCTGTGGCTTCTGGCTGGGTGGGGGCTTCACGCAGCCACTGACCATCCAGATGTAGTCTGGGTGCACCTGGCCCTGCACCGCCTCGCTGACCATCAACTCGCCATCCACGGCAAACACACCCTTCCCGTCCTTGGGCTCCAGGCGGAAGGCAACCACAGGCACGTACACCAAGTAGGGACAGTCGTAGTCCATGTGCCTCCCCTTCTCCATGGCCAGGAAGAGGCGCAGCAGCATGGCCCGAGACACACCCGCCCGCACATAGAACAGGTGCATGGTGCCTGCCGGACACCGGCCCATGGGTGCTGCGAACATCTCACTGCTCAGGTGGGTGTGCAGCAGCGCCAGCACCAGTACGAAGTCCTGCTCCGGGACCACAGTCCAGTGCGGGGGCACTGGCTCCTGCAGGGGTACGAGGTGGGCATCCGTGGGACCCTGCTGGTTCTGCCGCTCCACAGCAGCGGGGGCGGGCCCCTGGGAGACCACCTGTTCCGCGGGGAGGTAGGCTAGCGTGCCCTTGTAGACACGCAGGGCCGCCAGGCGCAGGAAGGTGCCCAGGGTGAAGCGCATCTCCCCTAGACGCCGAAACCTCTCGCTCTCCAGATCCACGTCGGCGATGAAGCCCCACGCCAGGCTCAGCACAGAGAAGAGCCGAAGCCCCGAGGCCGTCTGCAGCGACAGCAGGTTCATGGGCGCCAGCAGCCGGCGGCACAGCAGCAGCGTGCAGTTGGTCAAGAGGTCCTCATTTGTCACCTGTTCATAGCTGCAGGGGAGAGAGGTCAGAGGGAGCCAGGCGGAGGCTTCATCTGCCCTCCCCTTCCTCTGCCTGGGGACTTGAGGCGTGCAGAGGAACACTGGGTCCCTATATGGAGAAGGTGGAGGCAGCCAGCTGGAGTCACCCAGAGAGGACCCCAGAACCGACGGTGAAGGGTACGCCAGTACCTGGTGACTTAGAAAACCTGGCAGGAGAGTGGCACTGAGGGGAAACGGAGGCCCACTCTGACCCTGGGCTCTCACCCGGCATAATGGTTCAGAGAAGCCGCCAGGGCATTGCCGGAGCCAGCAGGGAGGCTACACAGGGGCTTGTGGATGGCGGTCTCCCAGTCCGGCCGCTCCATGAGCCCATTCACCACCTGTTGGAACATGGGGAGGGGGTGTGAGGGGCGGGGGGCCAGCCTGGGTAGTGCGGCCCCCCACCACCCACACCCAGCCCCAACGGGGTGGGGGGGCTCACCTCATGCATCAGCCCATCCCCAGACATGACCACCAGCGCGTCCCAGCGCCCCAGCTCCTCAACCCGCACCAGCTCCCGGGCGTGGTTCCGATGTTCTGCGGAGAGACAGGGTGGCCACGGGGCATCTGAGGGGCCCTGGCAGGGGATGCTCCCCGCAACCCCTCGGGGAGGCACTCACCAGTGAGCATCAGCGTGAAGGAGACATCGGCCCGAGCCAGCAGGGGCTGCACGTGGCTGCGGAAGAGCTGCAGCGCCTTGCCCTTGCCCCCGCGCGGGTTTAATAGGACCAGCACGCGGCAGGGCCGGGGCAGGCTCCAGGCGCCGCACGCTGGAAAAACAAGCCCCAAAAGGCCACGTCCCCAAACGGCCGCTAGGGGGCCGCGGATCACAGCGGGGGTACCGGGGTGGAAACGTGGGGCCTGAAATCCCGGGTAAGCGAGCCAACCGAGCCGGGCAGGAGGCTGCGGCCTCCAGTGGGGAGCTCCGGGAGGGTGCACCGTGCCCTTGACGTCCCAGTCCCTGGCTGGGGCCGAGCCCGCTTCTGGCCTCCTAGGGAAAGTGTTTCTACTGTCCCAGCCCCTCTTTTGCCCAGCTGACTCCGGCCATTCTTCCTGGCAAGGGAGGAAGGGGAACCCCCTCACCACCCAGACCTTCCCCACCGGGACCCCACAAACCTGGATTCATAACCTCGACCCGCGGCTCCCGCTGCCAGGGCGGCCCCGGCGCTGTCGGGGAGCTGCCCGTGGCGGCGGCTCCTGCCTTCAGCTCCTTATCGGTGCTGCCCAGGAGGGCGTCGCGGTGCCGGCTGAGGGGCTCGCCCTCCCCGCCCGGAGCCGGGGCCGTGGAGGCATCCGCGTCATCCCCTGCGGCTGCGGGATCTGAGGGAGAGGAGAGGGCGCTGGCGGAGTCCGGAGCAGCCCCCTGAGCTGGGGAGCGCCCAGCTAGATCCTCGGACCACGCTCGGGGAGCCGCGCGCTCCGGCATCGCCTAGTCCTCCGAGGGGTCCCGAGAGCCGAGGTCTGGTGCCACCAAGGGCGCTCCCGTCCTAGAACTGAGCCCCCACCCGCAGGGCCGAGAGGTCTCTTCCTGGGAGGTCTCCTCTCAGGGGCGTCGGGTTCCGGCCCGACGATGAGTCAGAGCCCCCCGTGGCTCTCTCGGTCGCACTAGCTCCTCACCCGGCCCGGGACTGCCAGGGGGAGGGGGGGGGCCCAGTGGCGTAAAAATGCCAGAAGTGGAGCGGACATCGCGGGGCACAAAGTTCGGCGCGAAGCGATCGCCGCCCCGAGCCGGCCGGGTGGCTGGGGCCACCACCCCGAGCTCCAGAGCGGCGGGGGTCCCAAAGCCTGGCAGCGCCGCCGGGACGCGCCCTTCGCTCGTGGGAGCAGCGCCGGGGTCGCGCGGGGCCTGAGCCCGAGCCCCGCCGCCGGTCGCCGCCTCCCTCAGCGGAGCGCCGAGTGGGCGCCCAGGAGCCACGAGCGGCGAGAAGGCAGGGCGGGCGGCCCTACCCAGTCGGTCCGGTTTGCCGGGGAGGCGGCACCTCCGTTCCTACAGCGGCCTAGGGCGGAACTCGGCTCGCCCCGCGCTCGGCCCCACGTCTGAGCGACAGCCGGGGCGCCGGACGGATGCTGGCTGCGCGGCCTCTCCGCCTCTGGCCTCAAACTTTCAGCTCAACTTCGCCGCCAGGCGCCGCGGTGCGGGGAGGGCGCTGTGCCTCGGCCCCGGCCCCGGCCTGGCCACACCCCGCGCTCTCCGCGCTCGCGAGGGTGGAACCGGCGCCTGGCGCGGCCTGGGCCCGCCCGCCCCCGGCATCACCGCGCCGCCTCCCGCAAGCTCAGCGCCCGCGGCTCGGCCACGCGCAGAAGCTCGGCGGGGTCCCGGGACGCGGCCACGCGCGCCCGCCGCTCGGACTGGGCGACCCGCTCGGAGGAGGCGGCGCCGCCGCGGGGCGGGAGTGGGCGAGGCGCGGGGCCCTGGGTCCGGCCGCGAGCGGCGCGCCGCGAGCTCAGCAGCCGGAGCGCGCGAGGGCGAACTCGCCGCGGCGCCCAGAGTCGGAGCAGCACGCTCGGGGCGGACCCCAGGCTGCCCCCGGGCGCCGCGACCTCCCGCCTCGGGGCCTTCCCCCTTGGCGCTCCCCAGCCCCAGTCCGCCGGAACCGGAGGCCCGGACCCGCCTGGGTACCCCTCCTCTGCGCCGCGGCGTCTCTCCAGCCGCGCCCGTTCTCCCCTGGAGGGTTATTTTTGGCTTCGTGGAGCCGCAGCTCGGCCGCGCAGCCACCGAGCCCGAGGCAGCCAGGCGCCCCCTCCCCGCCCTACCCCGGGAAGGCAGGTGACCCGCCGGGGGACTGCGGTCCGGAGGAGGGGCCCTTGTCAAGAACCTTAAAAGTTGGGTCTTTTCCCCCAGAGGAAACCATCGAGGCTCACCTGGGCGAGAGAAGCTGCCCCGCAGCGGGCGACCCAGGCCCACGCCCCTCACCCGCCAGAGGGGAGCCTGGCGGTGTAAACAAGGTGTAGAGGGTCCCTGGCGGGATCGGAGAGCCACACCACCGGGGAGCGGCCCCCGCCGCTTCCACTGGCTCAGCGGGAGGAGGCAGGCGCCCCGGGAGTCTTCACCCCGACGCAGACAAATGGGGACGCGCGCGCGCGCGCTCGCGTGTGTGTGTGTGTCAGTGTGTGAGATATATGTCATGGGCAAGGGTCTGACCTGAACGTGTCCGCGACCAACTCGAGTTAAGGCCCTGGGGGGGTTGTTCGCGGAGACCGGGAGGAGGGAGTTGCCCAAGCCTACTGGGTGACCTGACCAGGTGCGGCCCAAGCGAGAAAAGGCCGAACCGCCTGCAGGGGCGGGGGTGGTCCGGGCCCCGACGGCCGCGTGCTCGAGCGCCCACACCTGCCGCCACCAGCCCCCACACACCTCGCCCTTCCCAACGCCCCTGAAAATCCACAAGAGGCAGGTCCCGCGGCGCCGGGACTCGGGCACGCCTCCGTGGGGTCTTTTCCAGGGGGCGCGGGCAGTGCGGCGCGGCTACCCAGCACATGGGGGGCGGAGTCCGAGGTCCCCCTCCAGGGGGGCGGCGCGGGCTGGGACGCGCGGGCGCAGGGCCCCGGGGCTCGGCGCGCGTCGCAAGTGGTGCGCGCTTCCGTCTGGCGCGGCCCCCGGGCTTCCCAGGCTGGGTCCTGAGCGTCCCGAGAGCGTTCCGGAAAGGTGACTCAGCGACGCGCTCCAGGGTCGAGAAACTCCGCAAAACTAAGAACGAGGTGGGAAGGAGCTGGGGCGTCATCACCCTCTCGCAGCGCCGCGGCCGCAGTCTCGAACCTCCGGGCCCCCAGCCCCCACTCCCCAGGAATCCGGCACCGGGAGGGGATTTGCAGCGCGGCAGCCGCAGTGCCGTGGTCACGCGATGCGGGGACGCGAGCGGCTGCGGGCGGAGGAGGCTCCGTGCGGGAGCGGGAGGGCCGGATCCAGCCCACCCTCCCCTCCTCCTCCTCCCCTCCCCTCTTCCTCTCCAGTGAAGGCTGCGGTCGAAGCCTGGATTAGGCGCCCGGAAAACGCGGGACGCGGGGTGGTGCTCCCCGAGAGCTCAGCCTTGGAGGGAGGTAGCTGCGGAGAAGGCCAGGGCAGCCTCTCCTGCCCTCCGCTCGGGAGAGCACTTCAATCAGGCCCGAAGAGCCGCCGCTTTAAACCTTGGAGTCTGGTGGGAAACTGAGGCACAGGGAAGGGAAGACCTGGCCGTGCAGGAGTGCGTGGTGAGAAATCTCGCCTGCTCCAGGGTCCCTCTCTTTCTCCCAGCGCCCCAGACTGGAGCCGCTGGAGGCGCAGGGCGGGGGCGGGATTGACCAGAAAGCCTGGGGGCGAGGGGAGGGGGGGCAGCCTGCTGGCTTCTTTATCCCGCCTCCGGGGGCCCAGTGGGAGGGAGGTGAAGGGCAAAGCCCTCTGGCCCTGGTTCCAGTGCGCACAATGGTTCCTCTGTGCTCCTTGCCGCCTCTTCCCCTGCCCCCTCACCTCCACGGTCACTGCTCTGCCCCCCCCCCTCATTCTTGTCATTGGCCTCCTGGTCCCCAGGCTCTGTCTCTCCAGGCACGCACTGACCTCCAGCCTCTCTCTCTAAAGAACCGTATCTGTCTCCAGCAAGTCACCCATCAGTATGGGAGGCCCAAGAGAGGGAACTGGGCAAGAACAGGACGTTTGTGGCCCTTTGACAGTTGGGGGAACTGAAACCCTGGGGAGGTGAAGGGTCTTGCCCAATCTGCCAACCAGTTCCCGGCAGACCCGGGAGGCCGGCCCCTCCGCCTGGGAGACTGAGCCCACCCCAGCTTCTCACTGATGTTTGAGTAGCCCTTGACCCGTAGGTGCCTTGCCACAGAGCTGCCCCAATGGTCCGGCTGTGCAGGGTCTCCCAGAGAAAGAGGAAACATCTTGAAGCCCTCTCCAGGCTTCCTCCCCCAGGTCCTGCTTAAGCATCAGCCCCCATGCCCAGCAGGTCCGTCAACCGCTGGTCTGGCCTCAGGCCTGAACCGAACCGGATTGCCACTGGGTAGATCCGCCTGAAGGTAATACCTGTCTCACAGGTCGAAAAGCCCACCTTTCCGTCTCTCCCAGCCACCCCCTTCCTCCCCATGGACAGCCCCCTCCCCAGGGAGACACACCTGAGAGCCCCTTTTCTTCTTCAGAGCGAAAAAGCAATAATTGACTGTGCCTGGCACCAGCTCTCTGGAAATTTGGAGCCAAGGCCGCCAGATGGCAAGTGACTGGCTTTTATTAGGATAGGATTCCCGCCATCCCACCGGTCCCCGAAGCAGTCTCCACCCCTCCCCCCCGCCCCCGCGAGGTTTCAGCTCCCAAGCCGAATTCCAGAGCCTCCAGGCCTCTCTTGACCTTGACTGCTTTCTCCCCGGGAGGCTGTAAGAGCAGAGAAGGGAGGTGACCGGCCCGCCAACTGCTCTGAAGACTCTCGTTCTCTGACAGCCCCGGGTGAGGCTTTCCATTCTGAGAGTTTCCTAGATGCTGGTGACCCTGCCAGGCATCTGGGGGGGGGGGGTTGCCGCAGGTGGCGATCCGGGAGAGCAGACTGGTCACGCAGGATTCTTGGCTGCTCGCAGGGAGTGTTCGGAGTTTCTGTTTCTGCTGTGGCTCATCGATTCTGGGCGTGTGGTGTGGTCCGCTTCGCTCTGCCTTCTGGGTTCCTCCTGGGTTTCCTTGTCTTCCTGGGTTTCCTTGCTGCGGCTTATCTGGGCTCTGCCTTCCTCCCTCACCTGCAGGCCTGCCCATTCTAGCTGCTGCTTCTAGCTTAGCCTCCAGAGCCCCCTCCAGGGGGCACCCCGCGGGCCACCAGCAGTCCACTCATTTCCTATGCCTGCCCAGCCGCTGAAGGCCATTCTGTTAGTTTCTTGGCGTCGTTGTAACAAAGTGCCGCAAACTCAGTGGCTTCCCAGAAACCTACGGTCTCACGGACCTGGAGGCCCAAGTCTAGGACCAGTATGGTGGCAGGGTCTGGGACTGTGGGGGAGGATCTGGCCCAGGCCTCTGTCCCCGCCCTGATGGTTGGCCGGCAAACTTTGCTGTTCCTTGGCTAGACCCTGCACCACTCCATCTCTGCCTTCATCCTTCATCAGCCCGTGGCCTTCTCCCTGTGGAAGATCTGGCTGAATCTGTCCCTTAGGGTCTGCATGATCTTCTGTGGGACTGGTGTTTTGCAAATGCAAATTGCTCTAGGAGGAAGAACCAAGGAGTCATTAGGACTCTAGTGTGAATTAATATATTACATTTTTTTTAATGTTTCACGTTTTCAATTTAAAAAAATGAGCTGATACGAGGTGTCCTGAAAAAGGGGACATGCTCATGCAGGTGTTGGAGGAGAGGGGTGTCTAGAAGGCGCACCTACCCTCCTCCCTGCGTTGTCAGGGTGCAGTCTGTTGGGGGGAGCTGTTTATGTCTGCATCCGCTGCCACACTTCCTTGCACGCCCAGGCTTGCACACTGCTCCCTCGACTTTCAGATCTCGCCTTGCACCTTGACTTATGGTGTCTTTGGCTCTCTGAGAAGATGGGTTTGTTCCCCAGCTCTTGGAAGAACAAAACTGAGTTGTTTTAGG